TATGAAGACTAATAGCTCTTCTTTTTTTTTTTTTTAATAAATTTAATAATTAAATTAATCATCGTAACATGTCATGTTATATATATATATATATAATAAAGACACAAGCATGCATGTTTATTTAGTATACTTGTTGGGTCAAACTGTTATTTTATATATTTAATTAAATTTCAAAATTAGGACGGCTCTAAGTATGAACACTTGACCAATTTTACTTAATTAAAAAGAATAATAATTATTATCACATAAAAAATATATATATATATGATATTATGTTGATTAATTTCATATGAATTTAATTAATGTTATAGCTTGGCGGATTGTGTTAATGCTTCTTGATCTCTGATTCCTTAATCATCACCACAAACACATATCCTTAAGCATCACTATATCACTTCAATAATTAATTAATTAATTATTATTTTAACTATTAATCATAATCAATTTTTAGCTTAACCACCCTTATAGACGACGGGTAGAGTTAAAATCGAATTATATGTTTTCGTGTATATTTTTAATAAATTCTTGATTTTAAAAAATAAAAATAAAATAAGGGTTTGGAAAAACATAAATAAATGGATAAATTTCGTAATTATTATTGATTTTTTTATAATTTTTTTTTTAAAAAAATAAAATTTGATGGGTGGAACAAGAAACATAACATTCTTCAATGTGGGTGTTGGGTTGGGGCGTGCAAAAGCCATGTCTTTTGATGAGCAAAACAAAGTTAAAAAAGCAAACTTTAGGAAAGTTCGTATTTGTCACTCCCAAAATTATGGGGTCGGGTCACAAACACATTGTTTACTTTCCTGTTTTAGCGCTAAAACGCACCGTATCCTATGCTGCTTCTGCTGCGCTTTCCATTTTATTCTCCCTCCATTGACTTCCAAATTTTCACTTTTCATTTTTTTTTTTTAATTTTTTATTTTAAAGAAAGACTGATGATTTCATCTGCTACCACACGGTATCATGATCAGATAACAACTGGAATAGAAGAAGAAGAAGAAGAAAGAAGAAGATAAGCCTGTAAAAGAATTTAATCAGTGGCAGAAATAAACTTAAATTAAGACAAAACAATAAGATACGCACGTTTCCATTTCAATAAAATAACCTTTGCTTTCTTCAGAAACGACTGAAAGCTTCCATCTTTTTTTTTTTTTTGGGTTTGGTTTGGTGTGGGAAGAAGAGCCAAAAAGTTCTCTTCTTTGAATTTATTGAGCATTGGGGTTGCTGCAGTTTCTCTCCGAAGTCAACCTAGTTTGGCTTTGTATTTTTATGAAATCTTCATAAATTTTTTTTGAATTACTGATTTTTTTTTTTTACTATGCATGAGGTTCTGATTGACTGTGAAATCTTTTGGCAATAGATTCAATCTCATTTATTTTTCTGCAATTTGGTAGATATATTGCCTTTCTTCAGAATTTCCCTTCTCTCCCCATTAATATCTAGCCTTCAAAATTTCTCATTCAATTCTAACTCTCTCTCTCTCCTTCGCAAATTGGAGTTGGGATTTTTCCTATTCGAGCAGAAGGAAATAAAGACCACCATTAATTGGTTCTACATCGGAAAGAGCTTTTGAATCCCAGCTAAATGAGTTTTAGCTTACGGAAAGAGCTTTTGGGTCGCATACTTGAAGCCTAAAGCCGCAATCTTGGTAAGTTGTTGATAGACAAAATTATGGGGTGGGTTCTTTTTGAAATTAAGCTTTCTCCTCCACAGCAACCCTACTTTCTCTCTCAGCCACCTCCTGCTCCAGAAAATCTTCAGGCAGATACTTTTGATTTGAACAGCAAGGTCAGTCCAAGCATACTGCTTATCATTATAATTCTAGCTATAATTTTCTTCATTTCTGGGTTGCTTCACCTTCTAGTAAGGTTTTTACTGAGACCCCCGAGCAGCGAGCCGGGAGGATTCAGATAACGTGACTGCTCTACAAGGGCAGTTGCAGCAATTATTCCATCTCCATGATGCTGGTGTTGACCAATCCTTTATAGACACCCTCCCGGTCTTTCACTATAAAGCTATTATAGGATCCAAGAACCCATTTGATTGTGCTGTTTGCTTGTGTGAATTTGAACCAGAGGATAAGCTCAGATTGTTGCCTAAATGTAGCCATGCTTTTCATATGGAGTGTATAGATACATGGCTCTTGTCTCACTCCACTTGCCCCTTGTGTAGAGCTAGTTTGCTCCCAGATTTCTCTCCCAACAATAGTTGTTCCCCCATTGTTTTTGTTCTTGAATCTGGAAGTGAGAGCTCCAGAGAGATTTTGGGTGATAGAGATAGCGGTCTTGCCAGAACCAGTTCAGTGATTAGGAATAATTCCATTCTGTGTTTTCGTGGGGATAATGAATTGGGATCGTCCCACATCGATTTCACACAAAAATCATGTGAAATTATTGCAAAAGAAGATGTTACTACTACTCCACCTACTCTGATGGTTGATTCAGAGGAAAAGGTTGTTCCTGTAAAGTTAGGGAAATTCAGGAATGTTGATGGTGGTGACGGCAGCAGTAGCAGCAATGTTGATACAAGAAGGTGTTTTTCCATGGGGTCTTTTGAGTATGTAATGGATGAGAATTCTTTCTTGCAAGTTCCCATAAGAACTCCAATGAAGAAAAAACAGACTACCAAGAAGCCTCATTTGCCATTGACACCTGGCCACAAGCTTGCTATGTCCGAGTGTGATTGTGAATCAAGAAGAGAATTTAGTGGATTTGAAGCAATGACAAGCGTCGGGGTAATAAAGGGGAATGCTAGTATTGAGAGGAGCAAAAGAGAAAGTTTTTCAATATCGAAAATTTGGCTACAGGGAAAGAAAGAAAAGCAGAACTCAGCTGAGGACACAGCGAGGAGGGCCTTCTCTTTTCGATTCCCAATTCAGCGGAGTGTTGTCCCTGCAGATGAAGATATGAAGGTGAAGAGTGGAAAGAATAATTCTGAGATAGGAAGTGGTAGGTGGGTAAATGAAGGCAACAGTGAAATCGGTTTTGATGAGGAAAACCAGAGCTGCAACAGCTTGGATTCCCAGGCAAAAACACCTTCTTTTGCAAGGAAGACTTTGCTTTGGCTTGTTGGAAGACAAAACAAGGTTGTTCATTCTTCCTTTTCTCCCCATGTCTAGTCCCTTTGATTCTTTTGTTAGCTAGGGAAGTTAACATTTTATTCTCAAAGGAAAATTTGGTTGTAAGAAATGAAAGAAGAGAAAGGGAATCAATACTAAAATCCCTGCATTTTGCAGTTCAACATTCTTCTTTTCCCTGGCCTTTTTTGTTTTAGAAATTGATTTATTCTCTCATGATTTTCTCTCCTCTTTCACATTTCTTGATTCCACAATCTTCAGATAGTGAACTTGAGTAATTCTTTCAGAAAAAAAGGAGAAATTTCAGTAGTATTGGTTGAATTTCTCAGTCGATATTTTCATAGTTAGGAGCAGCATTGAATAAGGGTTAGAAGTTGGTGTGTGAAGATAGTTTTCAGTCATGAATTATGTTGGCAAATCTGAAATCTTCGATGGGTCATGGACACAATTTTGTTGTAATCTTGACTGAGGAATTGATTAATGAAAAGGTTCCAAGAGGTTACCCATTTGAATGGGTTTAAAGAAAATCAAAAATCAAAATTGAGCATTCAATTTTTGTTGTAGCAGGTGAAGAGTAAGTAATAGGAGGTGTTGGGGACTAAAAACATTAAAGACTTGTGGTGTTAATGCAGTTTCAGGAACAGTTGGTCTCATTACTCATGTCCCCACTCTCTAATTGTCCATTCAATTCTCATCTTAACCTACTAACGAAAACGCATAACCTGACTTCAACCAAGAAAATAATTGGTACACCATTTAACCCTTTACACACAATTCTTCTCCTTTTTCTCTATTAACTTCCAAGATCCAATTTACTCTATATACACATAACTTTTCTCTCACAACAGAAATTGATCTAATACTTGATGAGTTTTAGGTTACTTGCAGGCTAGGACTTGGTGAAAATATAGTTATACATTTAAAAGTTTTTCTATACTGAATTCGATGTTAGTTTCGCTTGCAAAAGTAGTTGTTATGATTTAATCGCGTAAGTTCTAAAATTTTTATTTTTATTTATCTTTTCTGTATCCTAACTATTGGATAAATTTACTTAATCTCACAATTCTATGTCCTAACTGTTGGATAAATTAACTTAATCTCACAATAACTGTTGGATAAATTTACTTGACCTCACAATATATTTATGGGAGAGGTCTAGACTACTAGTCTGTTCTTCTAGTTGGGTCTGGCCTCCTAGTACACTTGTTAGCTTATTTTTAGGGTTTTATTAAATCCTCCACCAGAACCTGCATGGCCCATAATTGAAAAAGCCCATTTTCACTTTTCATTTTTAGTGCTTATATTAACTTCTATATATGATAGGGAGAAGAGGGGCTGCAGTGAATCTGACATGAAAAGGTGGAGTGAGTAGTGGGATTGCAAGTTGGCCTACTTGACCCATTAGCCACACTGTGACATCCATTTCAGTTTCCTCTCTTGCCCATAAATATAAAACATGATTCCCGTATAGCTTTTTATCTCTGCAAACTCCTTGACTCCCCTTTCAGGAAATCAAATTCAATGTGTTGGTGGGTTAGACAAGGAAGTCCCACTAGGCTTTGCTGCCTAAAAGGACCACTTTTTTTTTTGACATAAACCCATTTGTATCTGCATTTCAAAACATCCCAACTTTACACTCATGGCTCTCTCTACCCAAATCAAAACAAAACTTGATGGGTTGATATATGGGTTCAATATATTCATCACATTTAACATTCAGTTGATAAGAGCTTCTTGATCAAGGAATTTAGCTGTGTAATATTTACAACTGTCTGTCTCGCCTAAATGCTTTTCTTTCTTTACCATAATAATTGCCTTTCTCTTTTTCCTTACTTGATGACACAATCCGTTTGTCCCTTGAGAAAAACTCCCATGTTGTCAAACATATAATTATATATAAAATAACAAACTGACATAGATACCCACAAACAAAAAGAAGGAAAAAGACCAACTTTCCTTGTTTTATAAACTTGTCCCAACAATAACCCCCTTCATCACTTCATACACCATGAGGTTGTGGGCCAAAACAAGAAACCAAAAGAAGAAAATAAGTCGCGTAATTAAAAAGAGGAAGAAGATGAAGGTTTCGGTTGAGAGAAATCTCACTATTCTTCGAAGAATTCTTCCCGGTTGTCAAGAAGTTGATGATCTCCAAACCTTATTTATGAAATCCATGGAGCATATTATGATTCTTCAAGCACAAGTCTGTTTTCTTACACTCATCACAAAATTATATGGAGTTTAATCTTTTAGGTGTCTCAAAACTTGTATCAACGATAACTGTAAGTCTTTCAATTTAGTTTTCATTGAAATAAAAAACAAAGTAGTTTAATTCCATAAATATCTAACCCCAACAACTATGTTCACATATCTATATATATAATTACACAAAATATGTTAAAAAAAAAGTAGTACGCGAAAGTGGAAAGAGTAGTAACATGTTTAGTTTTTATAGAATTGAGGTTGATATTTTGTAAAACAAGTAGAGATCATGAGCATATGATTAATGGTACTGGCCCATGTCTTGTAACACAGATAATCATCTGCCATATCCAACTTAATGCTTCCCAGATTTCTCCTCAATACAAGAAGATAACAAGTATCAGCTTCTTCTTCATCGCTTTTCGATTCTCTGTACAGTTCTGCATGCACGTCTAATACAACACCTAAATCCAATTCAAGATTTTTTCAGCATCCTATAGTTGATACTTTGAACAACACTAAGTTTACTTCATGCTACTTGTGCTTTCAGTTCAATTAATTTATACCCAATTAATTAGATTTACAAATTTACTATATAATATTCTTGTGTTGTAAATATTATGATTCTATCCAATGAAGGAATTATATAAGGTAATGTTAAATCACTGAAATTTTTTTAAGGTAAAAGATGAGATATTTCTATAAAAGATAAAAGTAAAAATTTATATATGAGTTAAAAAAATATTGACTAAAATTACAAAGTGAGTTTGTTTACGTTGATTATATGTTATGAATATGATAATTAATACGTGTCTTTTGAATTTTTTTAGATGGTTTATATATTAAACTTAATTATGATTCACGAATTACATTTCATTATGTTTTATGTTTGAAACTTAAAAAATTATGTTAGTATCTATATATACTTGTATACTTAAAAGATATATACCTAATAGAAATTAAAAAAATTGAGTCTTTTTATTAGTTTTTCTTTTTTCTTCTTTTCATTTTCAATAAATGTTATATAAAGACAACTCTCTTAAAATTTTTCCAAACTGATTAATAAAATTATTTGATTGTAATTCTCCAAGCTCTCTTTCTAATTTTAGTTTTTGAATTTCTTTTCTTTTTGAGACTTTGTGTATTTTTTTTTAGTATATACTCTTGAAAAAAAGAATTATTTATATTTTGGCAATAATTTTAATAATTCATTAGGTTGAGTTATGATATTAATTTAAAAACTCAGGATCTCTACTCTGAACTATTTCTTTAACAACTAGAAACTTGATGTTTATATGCTTTGACTTTGTTGAGCTCCTGTTATTATTGAAATACAAAACTGCAGACTTATCGTCACAAAATCTTGAGTGATCTTTCTATGTCATCCACAATGCATAGCCCAGTGAAAAAATTTTGTAGCCATATTTTATGATTGGATGTCTCATAACACACTATAAGTGTCTATTTAGTACTTTTCCAGTAATAGTTGCTTCAGTAAACAGGTAGACATAACCTGATGTAGATCTTCTACTGTTTTGGCATCTAGTGAACTCAGAATCAAAATAACCAATGATCTCCAACTGATCTGATTTTCAAAAAGTGAGTATGTAACTTTTTGTCCTATATAAATATCACATGACTCATTTGATTGCTTTTCAGTGATCCATTCTTAGATTACTTATATATCTCCCTAGCATTCCAACAATGTGCATAATACCCTGACGCGTACAAACCTGAGCATATATAAGACTTCCTACAGTTGAAGCATAAAGAATCTTTTACATCTCTTTAAGTTCGAAGTCATTATTGGGACATTGACTTAAACTGAACTTATCTCCCTTAAACATAAGGGTGTCACCTGGTTTATAATTCTGAGAGCCAAATTTTTTAAGAATTTTTTCGATATACCTCTTTTGTGATAATCCAAAAATTCTCCAAGAGCGATCCCAATATATTTAAATTCCTAAAATAAAAAAGTCATCCCAAGATCTTTCATTTCAAATTTCTTTTTTAGAAATCTTTTGATTTTGTATAATAAACCTATATAATTACTGACAAAAATTATATTATTGATATATAAAACTAGAAAAATGTACTTACTTCCATTGAACTTATGGTATACACAATTATCCACTACATTCATCTCAAAACTGAACAAGATGATAACTTGATGGAACTTATGATACTATTGATGAGAAACCTGCTTGAACCTATAGATGAATTTTTTTTTTTAATTTGTAAACCATTTGCTTTGCATCGCTTGATACAAATTTTTCTGGTTGCACCATAAAAATCGTCTTGTCAATGTCACCGTTGAGAAATGTGGTCTTAACATCTATTTAATGCATTTCAAGATCAAAATGCACCAGTAAAGTCATTATAGTCCTGAAAGAATTTTTTAATAAAATCGAAGAAAAAGTCTCTTTATAATCGACACATTCTTTTTATATGAAGCATTTAGCAAGAAGACATGCCTTATACCTCTCCTCAATTCTCTATGGATTCGACCCTGTTCATTATTACTACAAATTTAAGTTATTGACAGAATAGAAATTTATTTTTTCTAGATTCGACACCCATCATCCAATCAAAACCAAACTTGATGGGTTGATATATGGGTTTATTATGTTCAACACATTTAACATTCAATTGATAAGAGCTTCTTGATCAATGAATTTAGTTGTGTAATTTTACAACTGTCTTCTCTCCTAAATGTTTTTCTTTATTTACCATAATAATTACCTTTCTCTTTTTTCTTACTTCATGACAAAAACTCCTAAATTGTCAAACATATAATTATATATAAAATAACAAATTGACATAAATACCCACAAACAAGAAGAAGAGAAAACACGAACTTTCCTTGCTTTATAAACTTGTCCCAACCATAACCCTCTTCATCATTTCATACACCATGATGTTATGGGCTAAACAAGAAACCAAAAGAAGAAGATAAGTCGCGTATTAAAAAGAGGAAGAAAATGAAGGTTTCACTAGAGAGAAATATAACGATATGTTTTCTCTATTGAGAAATGAGCATTATTCACGCATATAATCTATTAAATTTACGCAACATTATGCTGAAATTCAAAAATCAACTATACATCCCTTATTTGGAGCTGTAATCTATAAAACTCACAAAATCCCTAAATTACATTATTATAATATATTTAAGTCTACCTTATAAAATAAAATCCCAAAAATCATAGAAGATTCTTCAGAGTCTACCTTTGGTCTTCAACATACTCTTGATCTAAACTAATATGCATTTAAGACGTATTAATGGAGGTGAGCTTCACGGGTTCGATGAGAAAAAAAGACAGTACCCATAACAAAGACATGCACACACTCAATCATACAATATTTATAAAATAGATGCATATTTTCTTTAAAACCGATTCCCCGTGTAATACAATACTGTAATTTCACATATCTCAATAATTCTCTTATTCACATATGATTTCATGGACATAACATATATTCTGACATCATATTTACATAAATAAGTAATACTGTTCATTAGTTTCATAACTCTTGCACTTACACTTTCTAACAATCATTTGCACTTGTCATTGAATTACTTATCATTGCATATGTCAGTAGCACTTTTACTTTACATTGTTCACTTACCACTTCTCAATTGCACTTTTATTCTCAATTACATTTTTATTAAAGTTTATAATTTTTCGTCTTTTAAGAGTTTTATTTTGCGATGCTATTTTTGCCGACATCAACGAGGGCACTAAGGATTCCCTCTACCATGCAGATACATCACTTATCACTTATCATTTATCACTTCTCTAATGCTACCGAACACGAAATGGTTATATATTAGGTATCACTTATTACTTTTCACATATATCCGAACACAAAACGATTATGTATTGGACTTTTTAACCACATTTGACTGAGGTCGTATCTACAGGTAGAGTGAACTCTACCTAATCACTCGTCCTTCGTTGATACCAGTTACATATATTTTTTCATCTTTTAAATATTCTTATATTATTCTTTTACAAATCAATTTCATCATTAGATGACCTATCCATGCATGCACTTACATGTACATCATATATGTTATATATAAACATGCCTACACAATAAGTACAATATATACATCTTATATGCACGGTCATCGACTTAAATAAATATATATATAGACACGTAACACATACGACATATGTATACTTGCATATTTACACAAGGCATATATGTATTCCACAACACGTACGTACAAGTTGTTCACTCACATAAACTAACAATATACATATATACGTCATACAATATACAATTAAATATATATATATATATCTGCATCATGCACACATACGACTCAGAATTAGATTGCACAAAATCTGCATATACGCACTAGTAGCAATCTGCATACATAAACATAAATCATACCCACCATTATGATCTCCAATCATATGTAATTGTACCCACACACTTGATGAGTCTGCGAAAATCATGTCAAAAACTTAAATAATTTGTAAGGTCTGTAAACAATTCATTTCAACAGAAAACTAAATTTTATAAAAATATGGGAGTCTTTAGATGAGAGTAACCCAATTCCTTATCTACAGTCTGATAGAAAAAGATGTTAATATCTTCACTGGTTCGAGTTTCCAATCATCTCTACGTCTTGGTTATTATTCAAATGTCTCCCTTATTTACAAATAAAAAATTATGTGCGTTAAATGATAGACACTTCTTAAAGATAATAATAATACAAAGGTGGGTAGATTCTTATCTTTGACGCGTGATTCAGGTCATCGCATGCCACAACGCGCCCAACACGTACCTCCACACATCGCTACGCACTTAGACACGTGCCACCTACCAGACCACCATGCACCACTGTTAGAAGACCACGCCTCCATATGTGCTGCAGCCAGACTGCCACGTGTCATCGCTGGACCGTCGTATGCCACCGCGACCTGATCGATAACCACCACAGAATCGACGCACGTGGTCGGATCTACTTTGTTCTCCTTTCATGCCCAGACCCTTGTAACTAGGTCGTTGCAACCCAAGTCCAAACTCCTTCTGTTGGTCATGCACGGGTTTGGGTCGAATTGTGTCTCCTCCTCTTCTCGGATGGATCCGATCGGATGGCTCTCTCCTCTCGCATGCCGGAGCGATTCCAATAGAGATTCAGTCGTGAAACGGGTCTTAGAGGTTGCCTTTGCTCACAGATCCGTTTTCCCTCTCTTTCTTTCTTTTTCTCTCTCTCTTCCTCTCTCTCTTCTTTTTGTTGCTCGGAATCTCTCCCTCTCCATAGCTCTCTCTTTATTTTTATAGTCGGAGAGAGGAGAGCCCGATATGACCCTTCCTTCTTCTTCTTTGGTGGAGGGAAAAGGCATACATGCCTTTTCTTTCTCTTCTTCCCAGATTAAAGGCGGACACGTCTCTGGTCAATTTTTTTTTCTTCCCAAAACGACATCATTTTAGGAAACCTCCAAAACGACGTCATTTTCTCTCCTCCCTCCCTTTTTTTTCTCTCTTTTTGGTATTATTATTTTTGACACCTAGCCCTTCTTAGGCTAGGGTGTTACAAGAAATCTCACTATTCTTTGAAGAATTCTTCATGGTTGTCAAGATGTCAATGGTCTCCAAACCTTGTTTATGAAATCTATAGAGCATATTATGATTCTCCAAGCACAAGTCTATTTTCTTATATTCATCACAAAACTATGTGGGAGGTTAACTTTTTAGGTGTCTCAAGATTTGTATCAACTATAACTGGAAGTCTCTTAATTAAGTTTCCAGTGAAATAAAAAACAAAGCAGTTTAATTCCATAAATGTCAAACTCCAACAACTATGTTCACATATCTATATATATAATTACACAAAATATGTTTAAAAAAAAAAAAAAAAAACAATCATACATGAAAGTGGAGATAGTAGTAATGGGTTCAGTTTTTGTAGAACTGAAGTTGATACTTTGTAAAACAAGTAGAGATCATGAGCATATGATTAATGGTACTGGCCCATGTCTTGTAGCGCTGATAATCATCTGTCATGTCCAGCTTAATGCTTCCCAAATTTGTCCTCAATACAAGAAGATAACAAGTATTAACTTCTTCCTCATCGCATTCTGATTCTCTGTATAGTTCTGTATGCACGTCTAATACAACACCTAAAACCAATTCAAAATTTTCTCAGCAACCTATAGCTGATAATTTGAACAACACTAAGTTTACTTCATGCTACTTGTGTTTTCAGTTTAATTAATTTATACCTAGTTTATTAGATTTACAAATTTACTATATAATAATCTTCAGTTATAAATATTATAGCTCTGTCCAATGAAAGAATTGCACAAAGTATGTTAAACAATAATTGAATTTTTTTTTTTGAAGTAAAAAATAAAATATTTCTGTAAGAGATAAAAGTAAAAATTTCTATTAGAGTTAAAAAAATATTGACTAAAACTAAAAAAAGAGTTTGTTTACATCGACTACATATTATGAATATAATAAGTAATACATGTTTTTTGAATTGTTTTAGGTGGTTCATGTATTTAAACTCAATTATGATTCATGAATTACACTTCCTTATGGTTTATATATTTGGAACTTAAAAAAATTATGTTAGTGTCTATATATACTGATATACTTACAAGGTATATATAAACTAATACAAATTAAAAAAGTTGGGTCATTCTATTAGTTTTATTTTTATTTTTTATTTTCAACAAATATTATATAAAGATAATCTATCTCTTAAAATTTTTTCAAACCCAACAATTAGAACATTCAATTGTAATTCCCCAAGTTCTCTCTCCAATTTTATTTTTTTAATTTCTTTTCTTTTTAGATTTTGTGTCTTTTCTTTTAGTATGTACTCTTGAGCAAAAAAAAAAAATATTTATATTTTGATAATAATTTTAATACTTCATTGGGTTGAGTTGTGATATTAATTTAAAAATTCAGGGTGTCAATTGTAATTTTCTTTGAAAAATTATGGATCTAGATATAATTAAGCCCAAAAGTCAGACTAGCTTGTAATTTATCCTTCAAGTCATCATTAAATGAAAAAGGAAGATGAAGAAGCTAAAGAACTTACTCTCTTTCTTGCTTTTCAACAGATTCAGCTTCCTCACTTTAAGAATAACCTGTAAAAGAAGCTTGAAAAAAATAAGAACAATGCAAGATTAAGAAATTCCTCATAAACAGAGTTGTTGTTTTGATCAGAGATGAACCTGGGCTTCATTGTTCAAGACGACTGACACTGATCTAACCTTATACTTTGCTGTTTACAATTAAAAGCGGACAGTCGGTAACTTTTTTAATAAGAGATTGTGGATTTAAGTCTGATCATTCGAATATGTATTTAACACAGAGATTGTACCATACCATCTGGGGTTTCAACACCAAGCTCAGCTCCTTTGGCTAAAAGCAATCTGCTCTTCTCAAATTCCATTGGCAAATCACTGGCATCTTCAATTGGCAGCACTGGGGCCGTCCCATTTAATCTGTTCTTGCATCCTGATCTTGCTTTCAGAGTAGCAGCTCCTTTTAATGCTACCATAAAAATAGCATAAACCCTCGTTAAAGCTATCCAAAAAAAAAAAGAAAACAGAGCAAGAAAAACAGAGCAGCAGACGAAAGACATTATTTACATGTTGTTGCAGCAGCTGTAAGTGTTAAAATATCACTTGCGCTTGTACCGCTCGTGGCTGAGCTCATGATGCTGCTAATTTGCTCTTTCTTTGCCCCCATTGCTTCTGCTACTTGCGCACACTGTGCCGCAACCAAGGCGGCAGCTGAAGCCACCGCGGCTTCCTTCGTTGCATCATCCGACTTGGGCTTATTCTTTTTCAGGCTCTCAGCTGCAATTGCAGCCAGTGCAGCTGCTACTCCCGCCACGGACACCGCCGCGTGAACCTCAGCTCTTTGTAATCTCACTTCTTCCTTTCTCTTCGACTTTATCTCTTTCAACCATTTTTTTAGCGACACACCCTTGAATGGCACCATGTTCTTCCATGGCACCTGCTTCATTTCCCACATGAATGAAATACTAAAATGCAAAAAGAAGAAGTTGGTAATTCGTAATTTAGCAGGAGATATATACCCATTTCTTCCTGAAGCAGCTGGTGTAGTTTAGCTCTGGATGCATGGCTTGCTGCATCCATATCCATGACTGAAACATAAATTTCACAAATCATCAACTAACTGAGTATATAAAAAATCTAGTAAAAAATTAATTTTTATACCTTCACATCATTGGATTTCCATGGCGGTATTGACTTGAACTCTGCATCATCCATCTTTACACTCTTCTCCATCTTCTGCAATATTTCAATTATAAAAAAAAAAAAAAAAAAAAATCTCATTTACGTAAATATTTGCAGTAAACATCAATGGGAATGGCAGTTTTAGGGACTTCTCTCACCGTAAAAGGCACTGTTCCTGTTTCCTTCTCGAGATTCTTGATTGTATTATCAAGAAGAACGATTGATCGATCGTGTAATTCAGGTGGTTGAAGAGCTTGAAGTGCAAAGTTACACCATTCACGAGAAAGAAAATCCATCGTTTCAGAGTGTGCCTCTGAAGGTGCTGCCTTCGGATAATTAGGTTCCATGAATTATGACCCAAATATCTTCTTGGTCAGAGATTATTGATTCACTTAACAGAACTAAGAAAGCTTAGTGCATATATATAGATCTGTCTTAATTATATAGCAAGATTTTTTTAGTTATTAAAAGTAGAAATTTTTTCTAGATAATCATTATATTTGATTGATTTACATCGCAGATCACTTATGAGTTTCGTTTTCATTGGTAAAGTTCGGTTATAAGAATGATGAAATTTTGGTTTCTAGCGAGATTAGTGATTTACAAAATAAAAATCATTATAATATTTTTCAATATAACACATTTTTGTTCAACTTTTTAAAAGGAATAATACTTGTATATTTTAGAATCAAAATTTTCTTCTAAAAAATTATTAGCCTTTGAACTCTCAAATCCCAAATTATATTTTTTGAGAAAACTGTGTGATTCATAATTGCTCAGACTAATGACTTCCTCGCGTTCTGTCATTTACTATTGTTTTTTTCTTTTTGGATATATCATTTCTTTCGTAAATTAATAATTTATTGCGTCATCCCATTTAAGAATAAAATTCTTAAGATCAAATAATTCTTGAGTTTTCAAACTTGGTACCTTATTAATTACTGCTTAATTGATTCGTTGGTGCGTTTAACTTTTATAAAAGGTTATATGTTTTCTATACGTATACTGGTATAAAAATTATTTTTTATTACATAATAATTAGTGCATTTAAATCTACTTTTTTTTTTTAAAAAAAATAGCATTTGAATATGTTATTAATTTTTCTCGTAAAAGCGAGGAGACCCAAAAAGGGTTTTTAATTTTTTGTAAAAAAAGAAATCTGGGAGGGACAGATGGGATGTTTAATAGTTGGAAAGATTGGAGTTTCAAAAAGGGAGCTGCTTGGGGCCTGTTTGGTGTCATAGAAATTGTGTTTGGCGAACAGAGATTTTCGCCATACATTACAACACATGCTAACCACTAGACTTGTATCAAAATTATCAAATTGGCCCCCCACACCCTTTTGTATCTTTAAATGAAAACCATAAGTTGAAGCTAAGTATCAAAATTAAACAAGTTATATATTAGTTGCCAAAGGCTGTCTAGACCCCACCATATATTAATCCTCCTATATATCTATATATAATGCATACACATGTATATATTTTAAAGCAAAAACGAAAAGAAGAAGAAGAAGAAGAAGGAAAAAAAAAAAGAGAGAACTATTGGGCATTATCATGATAACCGAGCATGTTTTTGACAAAAGCAAGTAGACATGTATAATGGGTGTTAACTGCTCTCATTGGTACATAAAAGCTAGCTAGCTAGTAGACATGTATGTATATATACATAATTGAAGCTCAAAACTTTCTTTGGTTATTAGAAAATGAAAGGGTGCGTTTGGTTAACAGCTTTTTTCAATCATCTTGGTAAACATTAACTTTTTGTATTAAATTGGGTAGCCAATGGTAATTGCCAAGCTTTTCTAATATATTAGTTGGGGTTTGTATTCATAATCAAGTTTAAGACTTTTGGAGATTTGATTAAAAGCTGTGATTATCATCATAACTCGTGTGACAGCCAGGATGATTACTGCGACTAATTAATTTCTTAATCAAGTGGTTCCCATCAACTCGGTACTTGTCATGGGACAATGCACCAAAATTAACTAAGATTACGAGCACAAGAAAAAGCAAACTAAATGAGAAATTAATTCTACAACATACATAATTAATCAATTGATCAACTAGTTTTTATTAGTTTAAATATGAATATCTTGCATTAAAATTTTACAACCAATCAGGTTTAATTAAGGGATAATTAATATTATGGTTTAATTAAATAATTTTTATGTCTGGTTTTTTATAAAAAATTATAAATTCATATTTTTATATATATATTTTAAATTTATTTTGTTATATTATATTAATATATCTATATCGCTTTATTAATACATATATAAGTTTTAAAATTTAATCAAGTCCCTCAATTTAAATTTTTACATCATTCACTTATTATTCAAATATGTATAAGAGGAAATGTCATATATATTAACATACATGGCAAATTACTATTTTAGTTTTAGTGGAGGAACTATTATGTTACGTTATAATTGATTTTAAAATTTTTATTATAATTTTGTTTTGAAATTTAATTAATTATTTATTTCATAACTTTTTATACATAGAAAAAAAATAAAATTTATTATTATTATTTTTTTTTTAAATCACTACAATAAAAAAATGAGATTTTACGCTGTTTTTGGCAGCATGCTAAGGAAGTCGTTACCGAAGAAAACTCGTTACGAGACAGCCAAAGAATAACATGCTAGGAAAAGTTTATGCGCGAGAAAGGTCGTGCCACGTGGCACCCACAAACCTCAGTTGGATCGCCGCAACATGTATTACTATTTGCCTATTTGCCAGTGTTTGTATCCAATCTATCAGTAGTTTCATAACCACTGAAAGACACTGCAAACCTCTATAAATTGCAACAATCTTTCCAATGCGCCACAATATCTCTAAAAATTGCAACAACCTTTCCGATTGTTTGAATCGCCACAAAATATACGAACAGAGTTTCAAATGTATTTCTATTCTTCACTCTTAATATAAATCCACAAAATATACAACAGATTTTTTTTTTCAAATAAACTATTTTAAATTAAATTAAATTAAATTAAAAGTATATTGGAGAAATTATTGTAAAATCACAGATGATTTTAGAAAATTACAAATAAATTTCTTGACAAAAATTTCAAGTGATTTAATGGTAGACAAGGGAATGAAAAAAGAAAATGGTGGATTCTCCTGTCTTCTCCGATACTCCGGTAAACATCGACATAAAGCATTAAATCATAATCTTATTGATTTCTTGGTGCTCTTGTGTTGTGCAAGGAATGTTCTAAGTTTTTTCTTTTCAGCCAAACAATGCTTAATGACATGAAGCAGGAAGCCATTAAATAGAAATGATCAAAATAAAATTCAAGTAGATGAACAAATGTTTTTGAATAATTGCTATATAGAATATGTATAAATATAATAGCCAAAGCAAGTCAACTACATTACCCACCTATAAATTTCCTTGTTTCCCAGCTCAAGAATATATTAGGCTTTACACTTTGTGCTTAATATAAGAAAATCGAACAAGAATGTGTTCAATCGCAAGGGGGATTAGCTCAAAATCAAACACAAGAATATTGACAAAGAACTCGGATATATAAAAATTATTTTTTTTTCTCATCGATAAATTTAAAAGGAGAATGTATACATAAAAGTTTAATTTTTTATTTATTATATTATCTTCAAACTATAAAAATATATATATAAGAAAGAAGATACATGCATATGGAAAATCATACATAAATATATTTATATATACTTTAAAATTCATGTACCTACGTGCACTTCAAAATTCATGTACTTATTTAAGGATACATGAACCTTAACATAAATGTGTAATAAGAATATTTATGAATGGATTAATAGATGGAGGAAGAGAGCACCTGGCAACTGGAGAAAGTAGCTGCAAGCAATAGCCACTGAAAATCATCCTTCACAGCTCGCCCGCAGTTGGAAGACAAAAATTTGCAGAAAATAAAACCAAAATTTGTATTGGACTGTAATCAGGGTAGCTATTTTAACTAATTATCATAATAGGGACTACATTAGAACTAAATTTGAGCAATATTATACATGTAATTAAATGAATATATATATATATATATATATATAGGGATGATATATCGTTTGGCCTGCATGGTTGTTCTTATTAATATTAGTTGATGAGCAAGTTGCAGGTCCTGAAGCTCTTCTAATTTTCTTGCAATCAGATCAATTATGGAAGAGCTAGTAGGACACAAAAGTTACCTATAGAAACAGAGCCAGTAGGACCTAAAAGTCCAACCGACCGGCAAGAGCCCACTAGCAGCAAGAACGACTGCACCCCAAAACACATAAGCAAAGCCAGAACAACACAGAAAACCAAGAGAAGAACAAAACAAGGAACAAAATGAGACACAGAGAAAACTATCTTGACCTCTTTAAGCTTTTCCAGACCATTTCAACTTATTGTTATCATTATTACTTGCAAGATAAGTTAGAGAAAAGAAAGAGGAGACATAAACCAGACCCCCCACAAGCAGAAACAGTGGCCAGAAAGAAACAAAAGACAACAACACATAAACCCAGAAAAAAACCCAGACGGGCAAAAGCACATAGAGCCTATCAGACCATGTTGAAAAATTATAGTTTATAAATTTCAATATGTCTACACTCTTTACATTATTAAAAAATTAAATTATAAATATAATAATTAATATTTCTTTTAAATTTTTCAAAATAATTCATATATTATAATTAATTATGATTCATATATTTAGAATTTTAAAAATTGTATTAGTATGTATATATTCATGTATTTGAAGATTTATTTGAACAACTACAAATTTAAAAATTAAGGCTTTTTATTAGTATCTCATTTTTCTTCTTATTTTCGATAAAGTATTAACTAGAGATAACTCTTAAAATTTTTTCAAACAAATCCGTAAGAAGCTCAAAATCAGCAGTGAACATCAATCAAAATGCATATCCGCAGCAGTGAAACGACAACATAAAAATTCAAGAAACGCTACAAAGGATACGTACAATGCGAATCAGCATCACCAACACTAACATTTGTAATAACATCTGAAACACAAACCAGACATGCAAGCACCAGAGAAAACATTGCTATTTTGTCTGCTTTAAAATACCAAACATCCAAAAACTTCAAAAAAGAGAAAAAAACCCATTTGTTTTATCTGCTTCTTGCTCTCAAATTCCCAAAAAATCCACAAAAAATTTCTCTTAATTTTTACCCAATAAGACCCTAAGACGTGAAAGAAGAACCTATGCGCTTCAAAGCAAAAGAAGAGCTGTAACACCCCAAAATAAAATTGTAATGTAATTTAAAATTAATAAATATAATTTTGAATTTTTTTTATTTAATTTAGAGTAAAAATTGAAAACAATTTTAAAGAAAATAGGTGAAAATTTGGGTTCTACGAGTATTTTTGAAAAAAAATCAGAAACCAGAGA